TTCTCCTTTCCTTGTTTGCGCTTGATTGCTTCAAGTTATTGATGAACTTTTCACTCATATGGTTGTCTTTTTCTCTTCCTTTAATTTCCCAAATGCATCGTTCTCAAGATCAAGAAAGAAGCGACGGTAAAGAACATTCTTATTGTCCCAATGATTAATGCTTGTTTATGTCAGTCTCTATAATTTAGTCACTTCTTCTCTGTCCTTTCTATCACAAATATGTTTTTCCAAATATAATATATCTATATTCAAGGGAGTAATTGTAAATGCATGAACTCACTTGTTTTAATATCATATATATTTAATAGTTAGAAAATATGAAGATTAAAAAACAAAGTTTTTTCTATATTCATATTAACCTGGCAAAATCAATCAATCAGCATCTGGGAGTTGTCAACAAAATATCAATGACCTTTTTCTTTCGAATATATAGATACACAGGGAAATCGAACTGTCATCTTGAACATTTCGCTGATAGTAAAGGGCAATAATAGTAGTAGTAACAGTTAGAACATAATTCAAGCCATCAGTTCTTTAGCATTTACTATTGATACAATTAACAACATAATAATACTGCACAGATTTTCTTCTTCTTTTGTTTCTTCGTCTCATCTGTTTTTTCAACACAATCATATATAGAGAGAGAGAGAGATAGATAGTTATAAATGTATACAATAATCAGCGGCACATTCCGACGTTAATAACGTTGACTTCTGATGCTCTTACTGGCAAACTGTTAACATCACAAGCTCTCGACAAATAAGAATTTCTTTTTTTTTCTTTCTATTTTCCGAATGTTCTATTGTTAGTTAACGGTTTATGTCTATCACATATTCAATATTATAAATAAACAATAATTTTCTGAAGTCCTTCTTTTGTCTTAAAAATTCAACTAGGAAAAAAGAAAGAACACAATTGCATGATGTGCTACATGTTCGTTTATGTGTATATCTGACTCAATTAATTTTCGACTCAACTTCTACTGCCATGCATAGATCGTGCATTGTTAATTCAGTTAAAATTTATATGATTATTTTATGTCTATTGCATCACAGATGAATAGCCATATAGATTCTTCGTCTTTTTTTTTCCATTTCCCGACTTCACTAAAGCAGTTCCTTTGAAAATACTTTTGAAAGATGAAAAAAGCCAGCGGGTTGTTCAAAGTATAGAGTAGTTACTCATTAGCTTTTCTTCTTTTCAAAATCTGCTTATAAAAGATCAATAGACGGATGACTGTCATATATATATATATATATATATATATATATATATATATGTATGTATCCATGTGACATTCTACATCAGTGTTATTGTGGTTGGAGCTTTTATTTCTGGAGGATTAGTTTGTATACATTGTCATGGACAACAAAAACAATCCGTTGTATATAACGATTTCAAAGTCACTGGTAAGATAACTTAAAGAATATAGCTGATATCTTCATCTTGGGATTATTGTGGTTTTTTCTCTTTCTTTTCTCGAAGAAAAAGGAAAGATCAACATATTCAATTAATTATATTGTATATCAGATAGAGCGTGTTATCTTTCAATTCTATTGGGAAAGGGACATAACCTTTTGTTATTGCTTTGGTTAAGTTAAATAGTTGTCATGTTGTTGTCCACTCTTCTTTCTTATTTATTATTGTACGAACGTCTGATGCTTGCTGCTTGTTCTTTGTAGTTTTCTTTTTTTTTCAATGGTTTTCTTGTTAGTAGTTTGACGATTCGGTTTCCGGATCGATCGTTCACATTCGTCTGTTTATATTTTACTAAGTAGCTATGGATATAGCTGCTGCGCTGTTGATCTCATGCAAATATAATTTAGCTGAATTATCTAGACGATAGAAGAAAAAAAGAAGCGACTTTGCTCTTATTAGTATTTCTTGTTTCTCAGTAGTTATTCGCTGTATTCCACGAGTCAGAAGGTTTTACATATGACTGTTTGCATTTCTTGTGCATTGACTATCACGCCATTCCGATTAGGGGTAACTGTTGTGAAAATTATTAGAATCTCTTTCTTTTCTTTTTCTTTCTTTTGTTGTATAAGATATATTTTTAGTATTAGAGTTGAAATGGCTACGTTCCGTTTCCTATGTTGGAAATAATAGCAACCTAGTTAGATCAAATCCGGAAGAAAGAGATAATATGTGAAAGATGGAATTCATTCATTCATTCTTAAGATGAAGTGATGATGAATAGTTACATAAAACTACATCATAATAAGAGACGAGCCTCTTTGTTGCTTTCATTTCTGAATGTATTCAGGCAAAAATTGGCATCACCAGCGACGACAGCATTCCTACTTTGAGATATTTATCCAAATAACACTTTTCTGTGTTTTTTTTTCTGTATGTGTCTTTTCGATGTTCGCTCATTCGTTCACTCACTCGGCGATAAAAAAAAGATATTTATATATAAAAATGTCTGGATGTGCACACAGATATGAGCACGTTAATAATAAGGGAAAGTGAAGAAAATGAGCGATGATATCGGTGTATTTAGATGATACCAATAATCATACTAATACTATTAATACTAATAAAACGACATGATCAATCCTTGTAGATTTTGATTTTCTTAATATGCTTTTTGCTTGTTCGGTAAACAACAACATCAGCACACAATATTGTTTTCAAAATCCACGTCGAACAATTAAATTAAATTTTTTTTAAAATTAATATCTCGTCTTATTTAGTTGCGCCTACTTAATCATGATGGTGATTGATTGTTGACAGAAAAAGAAAGAAAAAAAGAAAATCTTGAGCATGAGGCGCATATGAAATTGTTATTCTTTCTTCGCCGGCAGATTATTACAAAAGGTATGTTTATTGATCGTTGCCATTTGAAATTAATAATCGTTGAATAGACCACCGTAATAATGAGAAAGATAAGCAGACTCTTAGTTTACTGAGCGTGCCAAAATTTCAAAGCAAACCAGTGCATTTTGCACTCGGCATCTGTTTTTCATTTTCCTTTTCTATTTCCCAATCTATGTCTACGATCATTCTAACGGTAATCAGAAAAAAATGAATACGAAGGAGAGAGAAACCACAATCGACATTTTAGTAGTTAATAATTATGTGAACTAGTGAGAGAAAGAGAGGAAAAAATACGAAGAAAAGGAAGAAAAAATGTTGGAAACCGCATTGCTAACTAAATAACGATAAAATAGAGCATAGGAAAATCTTGTTGATAATAAATGAACATTATAGTCTATGATACTGTCGTTCGAAGCCACCTTTTTCTGTGCATACTCGCTGAAAACGATCGATTAAAGAAAAAAGATGAAACAACATGGAAAAACAGTAGAGAAAATATCCTTGAGAGTGTGAAAATGAAAAGCGAAGTGTTTGCGACCCACTCAAAAATGTTATTCACGGTCTATAGAGACGTAAAACGAGAGCCTTGTTCCATTTCAACGGAATCCAGTATTCTTATTCAATTGAAATTCTCTCTCACTCTCTCTCTTTATATATATATATATATATATATACAGTGAAACAAACTGAGAAAAACACTCGAAGTCAATTGGAATACCATTGATGGACACCAAACGAACTTACCTAATGATTTGTTGCTATAAGGTAAAAAGAGACAGAGAAAGAGAAAACGTAAGATTAATTATATATATTATACTCGTCCGAGATGTAATGATGAATAAATTTATAAAATGTAAAAAAAGGAAAAACGAGATTTTTTTTGTCGGGTATAATCAAAGAAAGAAAAAGGATTGTATATAATAGTTTCATGTCAAAGTGATGGTCATCATCCATGTTGATTAATCAGTCAGAAAAGAAGAAGAAGAAGAAAAAACGTTAAGCGAAAAGACACTAATCATTCATTTCATTTGAAAACTGATCGATGGACATGCGCAACAATTGACGAGCAATGATGATTTTCTCGTCATGCCTTGCGAGGTGAGATTAAATTTAAACATACAAATTTTCTAAACTAAATTTTCAGTCCCTCAAGGAATAGATAGCTAGTAGTTTTTCTTAGATGTTTTCATTCTAATAAAAGATAATATTTACAAAACATGCACTCTGGAGAATAAAATCAAGCCACTGCTAGATTTTTATCTGATGACATTTTATTGTTACAGTAATGAATATACTTAGAATGTTTAAAACAGTAAGTCTTCAGATTACTTTAAGAAAAAATTTTCTTTTTCTTTAATGCCTTGTTTGCAACGTTACATAAGATCTAATGCTTCGAGGAAAATCTACAAATTGAAATATTTTAAACAAATAATAGTAATAATCAAGTGTGCATTAACATTTTATGTTTCTATTTTCTATTTTGACCGATTACTTAATACAATAGATAGATATTCTCTTCATTCTTTTATCTTCTGAAGTATTCGATATACTATCAATAGGAATTATATAATCTAATTTATAACATTGAAAACTGTGAGTAGGTTAGTGGCATTTAATTTTTGAAAAAATAGTATTTCATTTAGAAAAATATGAATCTTCTATTCATTTACTCTGAGAATTATTTTACTTTTCATATCATTCATTTCGTTTAAGGCTCTGAGCTTTTCACAGTAAAATTAGAAAAAAAAAGAAAAGAAAAGAAAAGAAAAAAAAAGAGAATTACACAATTTAATTCTGTTCATGTAATAGCGTGGACAATGGCAGTAAACCTAAGAGGATATGCAGAAAAGCAGCAATTAGTTGTACTAACTAAACAACCAAACGACTATTAAGTTTTACATCCTTGATCATAGTAACAATTCATTGCAAATATTGTTATCGTTTCTATATTACTTTTCTTTCTGTAACAATAAAATGTGGCATATTGAAATTCTAGAATCAAATTAATTGAACACATTTAGATTATATTTTGTGAATATCAATTTACAGTAATATGACGGGAAAAAAAATATTTATTATTATTGAAACGAATCAAAATCTATTTAATAATCTTAATACGTCCTACGTAACCTATTGGTTACATTGACTAATGGATTTTTCATTTTGTTTATTTAGAGCTAATGACTAAGGCTCCTCGACAAAAACGAGCTGAAATCCAGCGGTAAGGTTAAATGAAAAAAAAAACTGTCACATGATCTATTGTATATTTTTATTTTCTAGTCTAACTAGTATCTCTAATCTCCGGACAAAACAATTATCTGGTTCTGTTGGTAAACGAGGACACGACGAACCTGACCGCATTGAACATTTCGATCTTGAACTTCGACCAAGCAAATTACACGACCTAAAAGTGGGGGAGTTCATTAGTGGAGGAGACAGGTAAGTTAGAAATGAAACGGAAGTCAATGATTGACATATGAAAAATACATAAACTAAAAGAATCATTCATGCTTCCGGTTAAATACTTGTACGCGATCTAGGAACCACGATCAATCGTCGTTTCTTTTTTTTTTGTTGTGTTCAATAATAACATTCGATTAGAAGTATTGGAAAAAAGAGAGCGTGAAAGCATGATAGAAGAAAAAGAAGAAAGCAACTAATTTTTGCTCTGATTTGTATATGTGCATTTCTATCTTTCTCCGTATAGTATAGTAGTAGCAAACCGGCGACAAACCAAAAAGAACCAAAAAAAAAGAAAATATGCTAGTGGTTCTTTTTGGAAGACATTCATCGGCAATCAGATAGAGAAATCTTTCTTTCACATGTGCTGTAAGATCACTACTAGCCAAGGGTGTTCTGAACGAGTGTGTGCAGTTGTTTGCGCTGTTTACCACTGCATTTTCATCCATCAAGAACCATCGATGCTGACATCGTCATTACTGCTATTTTCTAGTAATAGTAAGATTGAAATAGAAAAATCAATGATGGAATGGTGTTATTGTCAAAGTAAATTTTTATTAAGAAGATAAAGTAAAGAAGGATGCATTCGGGCCGAACGTCAGTGTGAGTACCTTTCTACTCTTATGCTTGATTTTTTTTTACCTAATTATCTTGAACAAAGAAATGTCACTTGACATAATGAGGAGAATAAAAAAAAAATGCCAAGTCAATCCGTAATATTCCATTTTTCACCAATGAACTGAACAATTGATGAGCAGGAGCATTTTCATAATTAGGTTCTTATCAACTTTTTTTCTCCTTTGCTCTTTATTGTTGATGAGCGGCGACAGTACAGGAAATATCGGCAGAAACAAAAGAAAAGAGACATCATAACGAAAGATCACTATCTATCTAAACACGGACACATTCATATAACTGCTTTATAAGAAGCAGACGCTTGATCTAACTGGCACAAAGTAAAGCAGGTTTTTATTTGTTTTATTAATGCCATATTTGCTAAGTAAGTTAATTTATTTGTCGAGATTTTATCATAGATGAATCTAAGCATAGCAATAGAATTTTGACTATTTCACAAATAGTTATATAAGAGTAGATTTTTCTCTTGTGGTTCGACAAAAACAAATTCGATAAAGAGAAATTTATAATAGTTTTAATATAAACAAATAAAATATGTTCTACTCTATTAGATCCTATGTTATTCTTATGGGACTTAATGAGTAGGAAAAGTGCTTCACACATTATATACCCTTTGAAATATATACTAGTAGGCCAATATGCTTAAATTCAAAACAGTATAGGATCCATATGAATATAAAAATCTAGTCTAGAACAAGCGGCTACTTTAAGTTTTACTGATAATTGAATTTTGAGCTGCATGTTTCACTCGATATGTTTTTAAGGGAATTTAATATCGAATGTTGATTTCTAGTTCGTCTTTTTTGAAAGAATAATGCATTGAATAATTTTTCTGTTCTGTTGAATTGATACAAAAGTTTAGTATAGCATCATTTTTGACATATAGAACAATAACAAAATTAGTTTTTTTTTTCTCATGCTAGATTATCTGTCTATCAAGTTGACATCAAGAGAGAAATTATTGTTGAGTTATTTGTCATTTACCTCATTGCCATATACTTTCTCAACATGTACTAACTGAAAATCTTGACAGATGCTATTAAAACTGTTTTGTTTCTATCATATTTTTATCTTTCTATGACATAAACTTTGTTTCTACAAGTGATGCTTTGCTGTCTCTTGTAATAGAATATTGTTTATTCAGTAAAAAAAAGGGCTGTATTTAAAAACTATGGTAAATAATAATTAAAAATAAAAAGACAAACGGCTTTTTCTACTAGCCTACCTCTCTCTCTTCTCTCTGTTTTGCTTTTATTATCCATCTCTACTTGATAGAGGAGTTTCATCAACAACAACAACAAAAAACAGCAGAATGAATTTTCTAGATAATGAAACAGAAAATAGCATAAATAGATTTTCTTCAGCGTCAGTTGACAAAACAAGCTAGAAAAAGAGAAAGAAGAAAGGACTGCTAGGCTCGATCCAATCATAGTGCTTGTGTAGTGCTAGAACGAGAATGACTTCGTCTCTTATCCTTCTTCATACTATGTTCTGTATGAGATGAATAACATTGGTAATAGTACACGGAACAATCTATACATCCTGTGAAAAAAGAAAAGAAGAAGAACAGACAAACAATAGATTGAGTTGTTCTCACATTCATTCAATTGATAAATGATAAATGAGTACGTCTATTACCAATGATCATTGCTTAGAAGAATCATTTTCACAAACGTGTCATCATGCTTTACAGTTTTCACAGGTAAAATTTTTTTTTCTGTTTACTCTTTCATGGGAAATAAATTGTATTTGATACCTATGATCGTTTATGTTTCTAGTAATATTTCCCTTGATAATATTATTCAATATTAAAAATATTTTTGTTCTGCCCGTCAGGAAAAAAGGGAATTACTTATTGAAATATAGCACGCCGAGAAATATAAACAAAAACAAAATAAAAACTTGTTTTTGTATTTGATATATTTGAATGATATTATAAGGACAGGTATGAATAAAGAATAAAGATGAGCAAGAAGTTGCAGAATTGATGAGAATAACTTTTGGTTTGATCGAAACAAAGGAAGTGTGGAAAGACATACGTCGAAAAAAAGAAACAGCATAAATCATCATTGATCGATAGGCGGAAAAAGGAACTAAATTTACTTCCTTCGTCAAAGAAAATTTAATTAGAAATTAACGAAAGTAAGAATAACTAATATCGAATCATCAAGATTAAATAACAGATCCGATTTTCTTTAGGATTAAGTATATGTCACATGTCAGAAAAGATTCTAATCGAAATTGTTGTTGATGAAAAGACTTCCATTTTTTTTTCTTACATAACATTTAGTAGTTAGAAAAGATTATTTTTACGCAAAATAGAATTTAAACCAAATATTAATATGGATCAAAAACACTAAGCTGCTATATCAGATGTAAACGTAACAAAAAAAAAGAGAAAGAAGCTTGATCTACATATATTTTGATTCTTTCAGAAAAGGTGACAGCATCAAATCTGATAGAACTGTTTCCGGTATCAGAATTGAGATAAGGTAGATTCATCTAAATATTTTTGATAGATTGAAGCCAATTGCGGTCGGACTTTCTAATGAATTAAACGTTTACAACCCATCGGCTATTTAAGTAACTGCAATTGCTATATATCGATTATCACAGTTTAGCAATGCATAGAATTCTAAAAATTTGAATAGATGCCATGTAGTAAATTTCATTGTCTATTGATTAGTAAAATGCGTTCATCTTTACAAGTATCGTACTTAAACAGTTCATAGTTAAAGGAAAAACTAGATATTTTTTGTTTATTTATATATTTTAATAAAACATTCTCTGTATAAAATAAGTATAGATCTTTTGGGGGGCTTGTTGTATGACAAAAATTGATTAAAAAGACCTAAAATATGATTAATATAAGTTCCGAAAGTTTCCTGGCAGCCGAGTGTATTAGAGACACTAAGGTGCACCATGAACTATTTCGTTACTAAAGCATCAACAATGGGAAAGTCAAGAATAAAAATAATATGTTTATCAAAAACAAAATGATCATTTTAGAAAATTAAACAACATTTTATACAAATAATGCATATTAATTGTTTTCTACACTTACACAAAGACACCTGTATCACGCCAAAATTAGTTTTTCATGTATTCATTTTCACCTTTTTTTTCCTATTACTCCAATACCTTGGGATATAACTTGTTTTCACACATTCAATACTGTCATGAAAGAGAGAGAGAGAGAGAGAGAATCAAGAGTTCTCATGTCACTCTACTCATTTTAACTACAATACGATGGTTGGAAGTAACCACAACTATTCTTTGCCATGAACAGTACACCCCACGAATCTAACCGCAAATTGACATACTCGGCAGTCTTATATTCTATTTATTAGATTATTTGATCAATAGTTGTCCCAGAATTGATGTAGAAGGTAAATGGTTAATAGCTGCGTGAAAAGAATTGGCATCGAATCTATTGTGCTCATCTCAGGGTCGAATGATTCGAATCGATTTCATTGTGTGTTGTGCTATCACTAAACATACGTCCGTAGAACAGCTCTTCGTTGTTTTCATCTTGCCGACTTTGAACCTTGTGATCTACTATCCTTTAATTACATTCCACAAACTGTCTACATATTTTTATAGCAATTCATTGGCTTATCTAAATGAATTTTACCTGAAAGATAGAAAATCGATTTCATTTAGTTGAATTAATAGAAAATAAATTATGCATCGAAGTCTTTTATGATCGATTAATGCCATAAATTTTATCTTTATATTAAAAAGAAATAAATATTAGCGGTCTTTCTCTGTCTCTTGCTTTCTGTGTCTCCATGAATGCATAAAACAGGCATAGCATTTTAAAGTGTATTTGCATTTTTCATATATAATAACGAGGTAATTAGAAACTAAATATTCAATCCGATGATTTTATTTTAAAATATGTTTGAAGACAATAAAGAGAAAAAGCCACATAGCCATGTATTTTAAACGACGTACGTGTTTTTGGTTTTCTTTTTTTCTTTGTTCGAGTAAATTTAAAAAAAAGAAAGACAAAGCAATGACAATCATTAGTTAAATCTTAACAGTAAACGATGACGATAGATCACTATGATCCAGTTCGACAACATTTTCGGTAAATATTTATTTGTAAAATTTTTCGCCTAGACACAAGAATAAACAGAGAATTCTGTAAATTCAATAAATAGCAAAATGACTCGGGATCATATACTATAGAATTTTTTTTATTCTCTAACGATTATAATCGAATGAGAATATTATTAATTATTCGCTATTGTTGAAATGTGAAATGAAGCAAAAAGTTTATTTTCTTGTCGAGTTATCTTTCTGTCGAAATCTTAGTGGGAAAAAAGTTTTCTTGTCTTTTCTTTTCTTCGAATAGAAACCATACGAGCAAAACGAGAGTGAAAACTAATAATAATAATAATAATAATGAAGAATTTCCCTATATGCCATGGCATTCTCTAAGGTTTTCCTACATCTTCATCGATTTGATGAATATACCGATCAATGGGTTCTAGAATTAATTTTTCTATCTTATACATTTTCTTATTTCTTTATTTGCAGCATGGTAGCAGGCTTTCTCGATGCTGTCGCCAAAGTACGTCAGTTTCGATTTCATAATGATGATGATTTGTATGACCGACTGTCGCGACGATTTTCTGTAATTTTACTTATGTTATTTACTGTTGTTGTATCTACGAAACAATATGTTGGCGATCCAATTGCTTGCTTTGCTCCTGCACAATTCACCGGTAAAAATTATTAAGAAAAAATATAAATAAACAACAAGAAATCAATTTTTTGCTATTAAAGAGGAAGTTGAAATTATTTTCTTGATTGCAATAATAGTGACTCTACATTAAGAACGAAGGAAAATAACAAAATTCTCAATGGATCCTTAAGATTTTATGCTGTAAATAGTGGAAAAATTAAATGTATTCTACTTAAGGTTTATTTTAATGGATTGTAAGTTGAAAAAATAGTATTTTGAGTGTTCACTGATCTTAAAATATTGAATAAACATTTGTATATAATTATACACGAGAAATGGAAAATAAATATTTAAAGAAAAAATAGAACAGTATTCTCGTATAACATCAGTTTATAACATATCGATCGGTAGACTCACATATGTATTTAGATAGGCAATTCAATATTCACAAAAGTAAACTGTTATGATAGTCTCGCCAAAAAACAAACATCCTTGAATTCATATAAATTGTAGAAGATGATCCGTCGAATCATGTTTTGTCTGCTGTTGAATCTAGTTAAGCGGGAAATAACAAACCTAGAAAGAGATGGATCCAATTGATTGAGTTGTAATTAAGAGATAATTGAATTTGTATACGATAACATATTGAAAAGGTCAAGCGTACATCTCGTTTACAAAATTATTCTATAGAAAAACTCCGTTCCTAGATTGACAAGCATGTAAATTTGATGGAATTATAACATTATATTATTATCTAGGTTCTCATGTTGAATATGCCAATTACATCTGTTGGATATCTAATACATATTATGTGCCATTTGAAAGTACATTACCAGCCAGACATGACGAACGACCGAAACATATTGGTTAGATTTTCTCTCTCTCATAATTATGTTCGTTATTATGACTTATTGATCTTCTTTTCTTTTTAGCCTATTATCAATGGATCCCATTTATATTACTTCTTATGTCTGTCCTCTTTTACATTCCCTCTGTTTTGTGGCATGCTTTTTCCACAAAAACAGGTTTTGATATATCTAACCTTGTTAAAACATTACATAGTATGGAACAATTAAATCCTGATATAAGAGATCGTACACTCAGATATATTGCTAAACATATTGATCGTGCTCTTGAAATACAACGTGAAATGGGCAGCGGATTTTTTTCCCAATTTACACGTGTTATACGTCGTCATTGTCCATTTTTTATAATTGGTCGTGCTCAAGGAAATTACTTAACTTTTGTCTATTTATTTGTCAAATTATTGTATATTACAAATGTTATTGGTCAATTATTTTTACTTAATGTAAAAAAAAATTCATTTTATTTTTCGCTGATTAGTAAATTTTTTTCTTGTGTGCAGATTTTTATGGGTTCAAATTATCATGGTTATGGTATTGAAGTTTTAAGAAATTTGTTATCAGGTCGTGAATGCTGTCGTTCCTCACGATTTCCTCGAGTTACAATGTGTGACTTCGAAATTCGCACTATGGCTGATCATATACATAAACATACAATACAGGTACTTTTAATTCATTGAAATATTCAGAGAGAATCTTAACCCTTTACCGCCGACTGTATGAAAAACGCCGTACCCCTATAGGGAAAAATGTTGCCATATGGCAACATCCGGCTGAAAAGGGTTAAACATTAATGGAAGAATGTCTATGACTTGAACCTGGAACGTTTTCGTCAGCAATTTAGATCACAAAAGCTAGCGTTGCAGAAAAACAAATGACATGTTCGTGGATGAGATGCTATTTAAATCTCTACTTGCTTTAATTAATAAGGATCTTCCCGTATACATCTATGTGATGACAAGTAAGCTGAACTTTACGGAGTCTATGCGGAAATTTGCGGATGCCTGACAAAAAATTTAACATGTGGTAACTAATGATCTATGACGCTGAAAGCTTTTTCTCATTTTTCGTGAATAAGTATATATCTATATTTAAAATATCAATCTTTTAACATTCTCATATGGGCTCGTTAACGATATCATTAAATGAGTTCTTGTCTCTAATTACTTCATCATCTCCCTCTCCTCGCTGTCGAAGATTTCAATGCGATAAAATCATCAGGATCGAAAATAATTGAAGTCAAATTCTTTATTTATTTGTTTCTTTCTAGTGCGTGCTTCCTGTGAATTTATTTAATGAAAAAATTTTTATATTCATATGGTTTTGGCTTGTCATTGTTTCTATCTTATCATCCTACGGTTTTCTTATGTGTATTTGGCAACAAATCTTACCATTCAATCGTGAACATTTTCTTAAAAAATATCTTAAAATAATGAACCGACTAACACGTGAATCCTTTGATAGAAAATTATTTAATACATTTGCAAACAAATATCTAAGACATGATGGCGTTCTAGTTTTACGTCTTGTTGCATTGAATACCAATGATGTTATTATGGGGGAAATAATGGTTGCTCTATGGGATAGTTTCAAACGAGCACAAGATGCCGATGGTGGGATATTTGTGTAATTATAATTGAGTCAATAAACCTGCCGAAAAGTTTTTTTTACTATCTCTCAGGAAACTTATCATCTATTCCTAGTCAAAAATTTATTTGTTGTTTTTTTTTATTGGCAACTTCTCCCTCTATGCAATAGGTTCTAGTCTCGCATAATATAAGATCTTTTAGCTTTATTTTTTTTGTTCTTTTTACTGTGATATGAATATCTTATGCATCTCTCTGTAACGCGATTTGAAGAACATAAGTGCGCAATTGTATTATCAACAAAAAAAGAGACAAATTAGTATTAGCAGATCTTTTCTGTCACCTTCTGACTGTTTATTTCTATTTGAAAATTGATGATGTCAAAGCGCTTTTTTCTGTTTGTATGTGTGCGTGAGTGTTTATTTTATTTTTCACTTTTTTTGTTTTAATATTGATGAAGGAAAAAAAGACGAAACTGATGACGTAAGAAAAAAAATATTAAAAGTACTAAATTCCATATACGATCTTTGAATACACCTGAGAAACAAATCCAAAGACTGATTGAACTAGCGAATTCCCTACGAACTATAAATACAATTCTGTTTGACTGGTCGAGAATGTTAAACTACATAATTTCCTACATACTGAAATATCTTTCAGCTCTGTACGATGTTTTGGACCGAGATGCATCAACCTTACCGCGAAGGCGTTAAAGTCGATATTTTTTGTTGTTGTTCGCGAATACCCATTATATGTCGCCGTCAAAAAGAAAACAATGCAAACTACCATAGGAAATTTCATTTTCTAGATGATGAATTTAGTTCTTCGGAAATTCTTCTTAGAAATAAAGTTCACTAGACAATAACAGTGAAGGTGAAATAAAGATTTGAAATGAAACTTATCAATTCATATAAACGGACACTTTACATTTAATATTTATTGAAAACGAAAAAACTCTTGAAGTCTTTGCTACAAAAACTGTTTGAAATTGTTTTTTGCTGACTTGAACTCTCATTCATCAATGGTGCCAAAATTTAATTAGCAAAGGACAAATGACTTTTTAAAACTCTATGGAATTTTTCCTGTTTCGTTTAATACATGAAACAATATAATAGAACTATTATTCTAAATTCCAACGATACTAAATTTATTTCATAATTATATTTAATACAGCTCTATTTGAATATTTCGGTACCTTCTAATGAAACAAATTTGATAAAACGAAAAACTTGAAAACCAGTCGGAAATAAACCCGTGTGACAAATGACTAAATTTTTTTCATCATATATAACACCTGATTGATTTTGTTGACCAAATTCAATCCATGTTTGACAGTCAAGTGATATTGAAATTTGTAATTTTGTTTGTATAGGTTTCTGATGTAAATACCCAATAGAAAATGGCAATGCACGATTGATTTGTATTGTCTGAAAATCAATAGCAAATAAATCTGCTGATCGTATTGAACGATGGATTTTCCAACATGTTCTAGTATCATTATCAACAGCTTGAGCTGTAGTAAATGTTTCAAAAAATTTAAGATTTTCCGGATATGGAGGTTGAGCCAAATGAGGTAAATTTTAACGTGTACCGCGTTTAAAATCAGTTGTAATGTTAAATGGTATTCGTTCGAGATTGTCGATTGGTAGACAATTTGTAAAAGAAATAAATTTATCATTATACGAACAAAGTAATTTTGTGTATGTAAGATAACTATTCGTTACATGTCTTTGCGGAAATAAATTTGAGTTTGTAAAAGAGCGAAGAGTTTTTTCAAGAATTTCAATAGCCAGCACTGATGATCGATACTGTACTGTGTCAAAATCGATATTTTCAAATGATAATGAAGTACCTTCGTCTAACTGAAGTAAACATCCATTGAATTGAGCTGGTAATTGATTCATCCACATGGAAAAAAATTGATCTCCTTGTGAAATCAGATCTAAGAAAACCAATTTTATTTTTATGATTTATTCGCAATCGATGACTATGAATTATCTATGAATTTGTGATATCACTAGAAGGAGTTAGGAGCTATCCATTCAAAAGTTCCTCTTTTTGTGTACTCAAAAAAAAAAGAGTACACTAGAATCGGTCATTGTGTCCGGCCGTCCGTTTATTCGATAACTCTTCACAATTACATTCGATTGAGCTGAAATTTTGTGCACAGAATTGTCTTATCAATATCTAGATCGAGTTCGAAGATGAGAAGGATCCGTCAAGAAATGGCTGAGTTGTCGAAAAAATTGTCATT